ACAGATTTCACTTTTTGGTCATCTTTCTCCTTCTCCTTCTCCTTCTCCTTTTCCTTATCTTTATCTTTGCTCTTCTTTGATTTCTTTTTCTTGTGTTTGTGTTTCTGGCTTTTTTCCAATTCTGCTTCAGGGCCTGCATGTTTCTTATGCTTCTTATGTTTTTTATGTTTCTTGTGCTTTTTCTTTTCCTTCTTCTTCTTCTTGCTGTCCTGACTTTCTGCGGAGCTGGCACTGCGACTGTGGCTTCGAGTTTGGCTTCCAGAAGGGCTGTGACTTCTACTTGGACTAACACTGGGACTGCTCTGACTCTGGCTCCTGGTGACACCTATCTGGCTGACTGCTGCTGTGTCCGGGCTCTCTTTTACTTTCTCTATGACTTTATCTTTCAATTCCTTAGAAATTTTCCCGGAAGTATCTTCCTCTTTTATTACTGATGCATTGCTTTCACTGTCACTTTCATTATAATCTGGTTCAAAAGCAGCTTCATCAGTTTCTCTAGTTAAGTCGGAGCAAAGTCGAGAGGAGTGACTTAACTGGGGTTTAGGCTTGGTAGCACTCTTATCAATTTTCCCAGCAACCTGCCCTTTTTCAGTCTGTGGGTCTGGTGGATTAAGTATATAAAGTAATTTATTGCCACTTGACTCTTTACTGTTCCTTGTTTCTAACATATGCTTCTCACGATCCTTACAAGGATTTTTATCTACAGATTTTGTCTCTTCACTTAAGCGTTTAGTATCAGAAGTGGCTTTATGATCATGAGGTTTTTTGTCTCTTGAGGGACTAGAATTACTTTTCTCAGAATCTCCTGTTCCTTTTTCAGGCAAATCTCTCTCCTCCCTTGGCTTCGTTTTCTGTCCAGATGCAGAATCTTTGCTCTGAGAAGGAGAGTCTTTTCTTCTTGTTAGTTCATTCCGTTCATCTCTACGTTTGGAACTTGAATATTCTCTGCTGCCATAGTCCGTTTTTTGGTCTCTACTGGGAGTAAAGTCTCTATTTGAGGAACCTCTAGTGGAATCATGCTTATCTGAGGTTCTAGTCTCTCTGGAAGATTGAGACAAACTTTTAAAATTACCTTGTTCATTGAGACGGTCCAAATTCCTATCTTTCTCTGGCTGAGTGCTGCTCTTCCTCTTTCCAGGATTTTCCTTCTCCAACACTGAATGATCGATCTCTCTCTCTCTGGTTTTCCCCTTTTCACTAGATGTACAGTTTTTTGAACCATTGACCTCATGTTGTATGATTTCATGGCTCACTTCCTTGGTGAGTTTTGGAAGTTTCTCTGCAGGCTCGCTTCCTTTTTCAGGATACTTGACTGTATTTGCTGGTTTAGTGCTAACATTTTTTATAACACTGGCAGGTTTTCCTACACTTGATACAGGCTGTGTGGCTTTAACATCTTCTTCCTCAGATTCAAAGTCATCTTTATCCCATTTGGACTGAGGGACCTGAATCATAATAATGACATCTTCAGCAGGAGCTGTATTATCATTATTATATTCTTCCATAGTTTTGATGACAGTTCGCTTTGTATCTGTTTTTTCTTCAGATTTTCTCACAGGACTGCCTCCAGTTGAACTCCTACTGGTATAGTCCACAAGAGTAGAGCTGGATGCTTCAGTTCCAGTTACTTTTTGTCTGACCTTTCCTTTGACTTTTTCTTGTTTAACTTTGCTAGATGTTGACTCCAATTTTTCAGAGGTTTCTTTTGTATTAGATATATTTTCTGTACTTCCAATTTTTTTACCAGTTTCTCTGTTGAGCTTAATTTTTTTGGCTGGGGCTGTTGATGATGAAGTTTTGTCCTTTTCAGGGGTCCTATCCATCTTTTCAATATCAGGTTCAATTTTGCGTTTTGGCGATGGCTTCACTATTTCAGTTACTTCGAGTTTAGAGACTTTCATTGAAGATGATTCCAAGTCTTTCTCTACATCTTTCTCTTCAGTTTTTCTTTTTCTTTTTTCTCCTTTGCTGTCAAGAGGCTTACTGTTCTCAGTAGGCTTCTTGGCCTTGTCTTCCTTACTAGTTCGTTTTTCTGATTTGACGTCTTTGGAATAGTCTTTCTTCACTTTTTTCTCTCTGATAGGTTTTGTCTCTCGGTGTTCTTTTGCTGACTTAGAGTGAGCTTTTCTGGGGGTGCCAATGGCCTTTTCATCTTTTTGAGAGGAACATGATGATTTGGTACTGTCAGTCTTTGGAGTCTCCTCTTGGGCTTTTTTAAGTGGAGGTTCAGATGGAGATTTTTCACCCTCTCCCTCTAGTTTTTCTTGGGATCCCTTAGCAGGTTTGACGTTTTCTTTTTTGGACACAGAAGATCCATCATTTTTTCGTTTGGTCTTGTCTCCTTTTACTTTTGGCTTATCTTTTTCTCTCCTGTATTTTTCAGACACTGATTTTAAAGGGATGGATTCTGCATCCATTGGTTCATCTCTACTCGGAAGAACAAATAATGAGTCTGTTGTATTTTCCTCGCCACTTGTGGGTTCTCTTGATTTTCTAGAAGGTTCTAACAACTCTGGGTTTAGAAAGCCGTCACTCTCTTCCCCCTTTCTCCGCCTTCGATGTTTCTTATGTTTACTTCCTTTACCATCTCCTGCAGCACTGTCGCTCTCCTTCTCTTTTGACTTTGTACTATCCTTCTGATTGTGACTGTCTCTTGTTGAAAGCTTTCCTGGATAGTTGCTACCACTTATGTTTCGACTTCTATGACTTTGTCCACCCGAATAATGTTCTCTGCGGCCCCTTGTAAAGGGAGAATTCCTTATATGAAGTGGTAAAAACCTCTCTGGAGAAAAGTTCTCTCTATTTGCTGATGGTCGAGGCTGTGCTCCAGCAGCGTAACCTTTGTAGTATTTTTCATACCACTCTCTGTATTTTCTCTCCCATTCTCGGTAACGTTCTTTTTCAAATGGGTCTCTAAAGTCAACACTCCTCCCATAATAAGCTTTTATGTCATATGGTGGTGGAACTTCTCTGTATCTATTAAAATATTCACGTTCTGCTTCCCCTTGTGGTACAGTACGTTTATTTGGAGACTGTCCCCTAAATGCTTGAGGGGACCTTGATCGTGAATGATATCGTCTATATAGAGGTGACCTTGACCTAGATCGATGATATCCATGAGATCTAGACCTTGAGCGGTAATTTCGACTCTTGCCTCTGCCTCTTCTGGGGTATGGAGGTGATCGCGAATAGGAACGAGAGTGTGAGCGGCTAAATGATCGAGAATAAGAACGTGACCGCGTTGAACCAGATCTTGATTTAGAGTAAGTATAAGAACTTCTGGAGTATGAGGAACCACTATAGGGAGATTTAGACTCTTCTTTTAGCCATCGCTGCACTCTATAGAATTCTTCCCTGGACAGTGGTGGTGCTTGTGTTGTTGGGATGGTATTTGGATGAGCAGTCTGCACTCCTGATGATACCCAAGGTGTTGATAAATTGGCTGGCGCTGGAGGGAACTCGGGGGGAGGGACGCTATACCCAGCAGGTGTTGGCAGGCCAGGAGGAAACTGAGGAAAAAACTGTGGTGGAGGAACACCTGGAGGGAGAGGCAGTGTATGTGGAGGAGGTGGGTACAGAGGAGGGGGTGGAACAGGCACAAAAACTGGAGTTGCTGGTAGTGATGGGCCTGGAGTTCTCTGTGATCTTTCGCTGTGGTGTCGTCCACGGTTTATACTTCTGTAGCCACTCCTCTCTCCCCTCCTAATTTGCTGTGGCGGAGAAACCAGATATCCAAGCTTGTTGGAAAGCTCCCGAGCTGGTCGACCACCACGTGGATGAGCAGCCTTTATTCTTATTGGACCAGTTGTAGGGATCAACTCTCCATGCAATAATGACTGTCCAAGCAAAGATGGGGTTCCAAGCACAGGCACCTGGTAATCTTTCTCCTCCATAAGGGTAGTCATTGCTATTGAAGAGGTTCCCTTTGAATGTTCTGAGGCAAGGGCTGCAGCTGGCAATATTTTATGATCGGAATCCTGGAAAGGCCCATCTGATTTTTCTGAGTGGACTGATACGGAGACCTTTACAGTTACATCAGGTACAGGCTCTGGGGTAGATGAATTTTCAGGCACAGCAGGGGCTAAGGAAGACTGATTAGAAGTTAATGAAGATATAGAGGGAGCCGGGTGGCCTGATGAAGATGTCACTGGAATCATCGGAGGATCTTGTTGTCTTGATATTGGAGATCTCGTCAGAGGTTGTAGATTCCGCTGAATGAGTGGTCTCGGAGGCGGTATTGGGGGTGGTGTTGGGGGCAACTGTTTCCGTAGTCTTTTTGTATATCCAGTTTCATTTTTGAAGTTATTAACAGCCTGTCGCAAGAATATATTGGCAATTAAAGCATCAGGAGAGACATCATTTTTATGACATGTTGGGCATGTATGGTCCTCTGATTCCAAGAGTGCTGTTCTTACACACTCATCACAGTAGCTGTTTCCACAGCAGGGAATGACAGCGGCATCAGTCATGATGTCTTTGCAGATGAGACACAGCAACTCATCTGGGATAGGGTCGTCCTCTTCAGAAGATGGAGAGGGCTCCTCTGGTAAGAAAGGTGGCTTTTCTTTCTTCCCAATTGCATATGCTTCTGCATCAATAGTTGGTATTGCGTATGTTCCAGTGTTGGTGAGCATTGCACCTTTCATGTTAGGATCTTTCACTTCCATCATGAAACTTCTGGGAATTCCAGTGCTCTTTTTAATCCTAGGACCAGATTCGAAGTTTTTATGCCCATTTGTTGGGCAATTCTTAATAAAGTGGCCAGGTTGACCACAGCGGAAACAGGTATAAGATGAAGATAGTGGACCTAGAGGCTTCTTCATGTAATTGATGGGGTCGTATGCACGGCCAGTTTGCGACATCATGGCTTTAATTTTAGCTTCTTCAGAAGCATTGGCTTCAGCAAGATTGGCAGTCTTTGTAAGCTGGGCCAGAGAAACAGATGCAGAAGAGTCATCAATTACTTTTGAAGTTCCCATCACTAGTTCAGTTCGATGTATAAGGTACGTCTTGCTTGTAGATTTAACACCTCCAATAGGA